GTTGTTGAATATTGAGTTCCGTTATCACTTCTCACCACCTCTGGTATTCCGTGTCTGGCAAAAATGGATTTTAATTTATTAATGACACATTCAGATGTCAGTTTTTCCAATTTGGCCACTTCAATGTACCTGGAATAATAGTCTGCTACTATTACAAACCATTTTCCATCTAACTTCAGCAAATCAGTTCCCACAATTTGCCATGGACGCTCTGGAAATTCTGATGGGATTAGAGGTTCTACTTGGTCTGGTTGATTCTGAATGCATGTTACACAGTTTTTTATCAATTGCTCTAATTGAGTTGACAATCCAGGCCACCAGACTGATTGTCTGGCCAAGGCACGACATTTATTTATACCTTGATGGCCCTCATGAAGTCTATTGATGATGTCCTCTCTGAGACATTGAGGTACTATTATTCGGCTACCATACATAAGAATTCCTTCTTGTAAGGTGATAAGATATCTGTACTCCCAATAAATAATAGTCTCTTGAGAAAGTTTATGACGACTTGGCCAACCTTCACTGCAATACTTTGAAAGTTCACAGCATACGTAATCTTCATGTTGTCCTTTGATGATTTCTACCAACCTCTTGTCTGATGAAGGAAAATGTTGTATAACAGACTGAACATATGCTGAAATCTCTTCAGTTAGTTCTTGGCCTTCATCACTGGGCAATGGACTTCGTGATAAAGTGTCTGCCAGAACTAGGTCTTTGCCTGGGGTATATTTGATTGCATAAGAATACCTCATCAGGCGCATTTTAATACGCTGCAAGCGGGGTGTTAATGTGTCTTTCTGACCCAAAATGGAAACCAATGGTTTATGGTCCGTTTCGATAGTTATAGTCTTCCCGACTATATAATGAGCAAACTTTTCACAACCCCAAGCTATTGCAAGCGCTTCTTTCTCTATCTGTGCATACTTGCGTTCACAATTAGACAATGTGCGTGACGCATATGCCACAGGTTTAAACTGTCCTTTAGAATCTGATTGTAGCAAGACTGCTCCGAGACCATATGATGATGAATCCACAGATAGCATTGTCTCTCTGGTACTCTCATATAGCATCAGAACAGGAGGACTACTCAGCGCTTTCTTGATTTCTTCAAAACCAGCTGCCTGCACTTCACTCCACAACCATTCATTATCAGATCTCAGCAGATCATATAACGGTTTAGCCTTTGTTGCAAGATTTGGGACAAACTTGCTCACAAAATTGGCCATTCCTAGAAATCTCTTCAACTCAGTGATATTGTTTGGGCTTAGGTAGGTCTAGAATGGCTTTGATTTTCCTTGGGTCAGGAGTTATCCCATCTGGGGATATGATGTGTCCCAACACTTTCAGAGCTTTTTCCCGGAACAAACATTTTTCCTTGTTCAAGGTCCAACCACCTTTTTGTAGCCTTTGTAGAACACTGTCAAGCCGACCATCATGTTCTTCCATTGTTTTTCCATACACCATAATATCGTCCATGTGGCAGACAACCCCTTCCAGTCCCTCCAGAGTCATGTTCATTTGTTTCTGAAACACTTCTGGGGCAGACGTAAGGCCAAATGGAAGTCTGCGGAATTTGTACCTCCCAAAAGGTGATATGAAAGTAGTTAGGGCCATGGATTCTTCAGACAGAGGTATCTGCCAAAATCCACTGTTAGCATCCAGTTTGCTGAATACTTTTGCTCCTTCAAGTTGAGCTAATGTAGAATCAACATCAGGAATTGGAAAAACTTCCCTTTCTACATTTTTGTTCAGTTGTGTTAGGTCCACACACAACCTTATACGCCCTTTTTGCTTAGGCACTATTACCACTGGAGCACACCAATTTGTAGGTTCGTTCACAGATTCAATTACCCCCTTATCACACATTTGTTGTAATTCTAGCTTAACAGTTTTTCGAAGTGGTAGAGGGATACGCCTTGGTACATTCAAGGCATATGGAGAGCTCTCTTTCTTCAGTTTTATGGTGTATGGTTGTTTGGTTTTTCCCAGTTCACTGAAAAGTCTAGGATATTTTCCATGGGGGTCAAAGCTTTTGTTTTCACTTCTAACCTCAAAGAGTTTCTGAACCAGCCCAAGCTTTTCAGATGCATGCACACTGAGCAATATTTGTTTAGCACCTGTTACTACATAAAAGTTCTCTACTACAGTCTTGGATATAGTACCTACTTCAGAAGTAAACACTCCAATAACAGGAAGTTTGTTTCCTCCCGGACCTGTGAGTATAGTATCAGCTGGCACTAATGAGCAGTGATTAAACATGTCACGAAATAAAGTCTCAGGTAGCACACTAACATCAGCTCCTGTGTCAACTTTCACTGATAAGTTTTGTCCCGAAATGTCTAACTGTACTTGCCAATTTGAAGAGTTTTGCACTGAACAAATTTCCCCCACAAAAGTCTCAGTCTCAGAATCATCACAGTCAGGTTCAACACTTCTAACAGCTTTTGTTTTGCTCTTCAAACAAACTTTAGCATAATGTCCCTTGGTTTTGCATTTTCCACACACTGCATTACGAGCAGGGCATTCTGATTGTTGGTGTTTATCAAAATGTCCGCACCATCTACAATTTGGACTCAAATTTTGATGATGTTTCTCAGGAATACTGTCCTTCTTTGCTCTTGTTGCAGTTCGAGGCTGATTCTCCCAGTGTTTTCTAACACCTACTCTATCAACTGAACTAGATGCACTGCGGAATGTTTCTTGTTGCTTCTTAACAGACTCAGACTGTCTGGCTGTAGTTACAGCTCTCTCTAAGGTCAAGGCAGGATCGAGCTGCAGTTTTTCAGATAAACTTTTGTTCCTGATACCAACTACAACTTGGTCTCTGATGGCCTCGTTCAAGAACCCTGCTGGAAAATCGCAGTTTTGTGCACGAGAGTGTAATGCTGTGACAAAATCCTCTACACTTTCTCCTTCCTCTTGAATTCGAGTGTGAAAACAATATCTTTCATAGATTACATTTTTGGTAGGTATAAAATGGGCTTGGAACTTCTGCAGCACGATATCAAAATCCCTCGATTGAACGTCATTTAGCTTGAATGATTGAAACACAGCATCTGATTGTGGCCCCATCAAATAAATCAGGGAGTTTACTTGATCATTTCCAGGCTTGTTGTCTAGCCCTGATGCGCTTTTGAATCGTTTGAAACGTAATACCCACTGTTCCCAATCATATTGGCGTTGAATGAAAACTGCTCAGGTGCTGGTATTTGGTATACTGGAGCTGAGACTCCTGCACCCTGCACTATTGGTTCGTCAGGCATGTTGACTTGGTTTGTTTACTTTTTAGTATTCACACCACCATTCATCAAAAGCCTAAATCCAGTGAGCTGCCACCATGTAGTGTTTGGTATTGAAACACAATTAGTAATAATCATTTATTACTTTAATGATTCCAACAAGAAGCATGTTACATGTTAGGTTACTAACTATTCCGCCAAAAACAGTCCCTGTCATCGGTCACTGTCTGTCATCATGTGTCATGATGTCAATATTGATAATCGGCAGTGGCTGCATTGTCGGTCACGGGTAAGTAACATTGTAGGAAACTCCACATTTTACACCAGTGAATAATAGCAGTGAATAAACATAATTCACTGGTCTAGAGTTGCTAAGGTACGCGATTCAATAATAATAATAATAATAATAATAATAAATGACTTCATCGTTTTCAACAGTTACAATATTATAGTAAGTAAATTAACATAGTACCTACAAATAAGAAAACAGAAGGTGAAGTTCAATTTGGATGCCGCAAGCGTCACCAAATTGCTCTTCCACTTAACCTCACAAAATCACTACCGTGCATTTTTAATATATATAAACAAGAAAATTGAAAGAAACAGGTAGGTGATACATCTTCTGGATGTGCGAATAGTGTTGAAAAAATTTTAGAATGAAGTGGAGGCACGGCCACCTCATTACTGGTTGTCAAACAAATAATCCCTGAGTTTTCTTTTGAATTTCTGTGATTTCACATGTCTCATATCATTGGGAAGAGAGTTATGGATTTCACAAATCTGGTAGCTAAATGATCTCTTGAATTGATATAACATGTAAAGAACTAGATCAGTGAATAATGGTTATTCACCGCTATTATTCACTGGTGTGGAGTGAGTACAACAGTCGTGGACAAATAAATTATATTGAGGTCTAAGTATATTACTTGTATGTTTAGACAAGTTCTTTGAATATGTGTTTGAACGCTCTGAACAGCGCAATAAGCTATACATAAAAATTAACTTTTTTACCTACGGATAAGTATTGTTCTGTAGGGTTCTCGTATATTTCATGTATATTATTCATATATCGAGTAATCTGTACCCACTTTCAATGCTTTCGTGTTGAATGGTGAAAACCTCATTTCGATATCTCTAACCGTTTCCGAGATATAGTCGAAAATTGACATTTAACCGATTTCGAATATATGCCATATTTTCTCCATACGGTAGAAACTCTCTACATGAACTTTTTATCGTGAAATGTGATACACCTGCCGAAAAGAATATATCGCTTATCAATTGTCCAATATCAAAGCCAATGTTCTTATCTCAAAGATAAACCACGGTTGAATTCGACTCCAGAAAATCGGAGAAAAATCGGCTTTCCAAAAATATACGTGTCAAGATATGTCTAGTCATCCATATACAACAACAATACAACGTTTTGGCTTCAATATCAGACAATTGATGCGCGATATATTTTTTCGCAGCTGTATCTCATTCGACGTTAATAAAAGTGCATGTAGAGAGTTCTTACCGTTAGAAAAATCATCCAAAAATAAGAATATTATGATCTATTTCCGAAATCGGTCAAATGTCAATTTTCGCCTATATATATCTCGAAAACAGTTAGAGATATCGGATTGCGGTTTTTACCAATCAACGTTTCGCAAAACGAGCTCAGACTCCATGATGAGTTTTCTCTAGCTGTTCTTGAAATAGAGCAAAGTGCCAAAATCAAGCAATTCGGGACACACTGTACAATAATTAAATTACCTTGATAAGGCTGGCGGCAATGCTGGAACACGGTGATGCTACAGTTTTCTGGCAGCGATCATGGACCACGAAGTTGCAAACTGAAAAAAAAAACAATAATTCAAAATCATTATCATCAAGTACTTTCTGTATGCTTTACCTACTAACTGAATATATTCAAAATGTTTCAAGGTTTCATGACGAAATAATCAAAGATGATGCATGAACTTCATCAAAAAATCATCCTGTTTAATTATTTCATAGCAGTTTGGTAAATACATCAGAGTAGGCCAACGAAGACAAAGCAGCCAAATAACTTCCGAAAGAATGTTTTTATTTGAAGAAACGCTGAAATTGGTACACTTTTCAATTCATGGGGACACATTTTTATTAAAACAAAACAATTTGGACACAAATTCCAATAAATAAAAAAAAGTCCGTTCCATAGACATTTAAAATACCTCCCTAACAAGAGTAACAAGAAGAAACTTGAACCCTTGTACAATTTGAAATTTTTGAAGAAGTTCATCTGTAGGGCAGGAGATTAACAGGTGGCTGGAAATTTCACGAATAAAAAAATAGATTTTCGAAAATAATAATCAATCTGTCCAAGATTTTTTGAATTATTGAATTTCTATGGTGGAGATACGAATTTTGATCCATCTTAGGCTTTCACACAGTGTGAAAAATATTGTACAGGGTTCTCGGAGGGGGTTCCCCTACCCCAAAAGGAAGCAAATCCGTGTTCAGTGTGAATAAATTATAGTTTGAAAAAATGGAAAACACTCCTTCACAGATAGCCAAACTAAAATTAAATATTTAAAGTGTTGATACATTCACTACATAGAATATACTGATTACTGATATTTTCTACGTTGTGTATTTATCTATTTTTCTATTGCTTTTCAGTTCGACTATATACAGGGTGAGGCATATCTATTGTTTGTTCACCATAAGTAAAAATAATGATAAACATGATTTTTCAATTTTCCATAAACCTTTCCACACTGATATCACTATTCATTATAATTCAACACACCCTCATCAACATAAAATTGCAGCATATAATAGTATGATACACATCAGGCTAGTGAATGTTTCTCTTTCGGAAGTAAATTTCAATAAAGAACTCAATATCATGAAACAGATTGCAGGCAACAACGGATACAACGTTAATTTGATAGACAGTATTGTTTCTTAAAAGCTTTATAATGAAGCTATTCAAGGAGTTTATCCTACTATCAAGAATAATAATCGACATTATAGAACTTTAACCTATTTTGGATCATCAACTGAAAAATTAGCCCTAGCATATAGAACAAATACGTTGGGAAGGTTTATCAAGAATATTGGAGACAAAACTTCTAAATTCGAAAAATCAGGAGTATGCAAACTCAACTGTGGATCTTGCCCTAGGTTATAAATCGGTCAGACAGGTCGTACGTTTAATCAGTGCATTCATGAACATAAGACGAATTTTTTGAAAAAGAAAACAAATTCAACATACGCCAACCATAAATTGAAAGGAAACCATAGTTTTGGGGATAATTCCGAAATTCTACACGTAGAAAATGAAGGAATGAAACTCAATTATTTTGAATCATTAGAATTCAAGAAACCCAAACATTCTGACATTTCACTTAACGATCATTTGTATCTCATTATTTCACCACTGTCGATTTTGTTTTCTTAGTAAGTAATAATAAGTATTTGATATCAACCCTTTCAAGTTAACCCTGTACACCGTATTTTAATGTAGATATTGTGCCTAATTTCCGAAAAGGGAGGTTTATCGAACCTGTCCACTGGTAACTAATCCTTCAGGTTGGGAAAGTCGGATATACAGGGTGATCCAGGGTGGATGGCCTATTAGAGGTATCTGGAGAACGAAAAAACAGAACATTCTGAAAATTAGGATGCTTTGATAATTGAACATTCTCTATCCGTCTAAAATATTTTCATCGATACAGTGTTGCCACTTCTATCAGAAACAACTAGCAACTTTGTTATTTCAGATGGAACACCCTGTATTTTATTGCATTTTTAGATTCTTCCTGAAGAGCTGATTTCATCAATGTATCACACTTGGGGTCTAGCAGGAGTAGCAGGAATGATTACAGAGATATAGGGTGTTTACAATCGAGATTTTTCAATTTTAGGATTTTTTTGTGTCGAAACTATTCATTATAGATCAAAACGGCTTACATGTCCCTATCTCAATATCCAATTCACTATCTACTGACATTTAATTGGAACAGAAACAGGGTGATCAGAATTCTGAATCTTGAAGCAGCCTGTATTTTTTCCAATTAAATTCCAGTAGATAGTGAATCAAAAGTTAAGATAGGGACATGTAAGTCGTTTCGATCGGTAATGAATAGTTTCTACACAAAAAAAATCCTAAAATTGAAAAATCGCGATTTTGAACACCCTTTACTCTGTAATCATTCCTGCTAGACCCCAAGTGTGATACATTGATGAAATCAGCTCTTCAGGAAGAATCTAAAAATGCAATAGAATATAGGGTGCTCCATTTGAAATAACGAAGTTGCTAGTTAATTGTTTACGATAGAAGTGGCAACACTGTATCAATGAAAATATTTTAGACGGATAGAGAATGTTCAATTATCGAAGCATCTTGATTTTCAGAATGTTCTGTCTTTTAGTTCTCCAGATACTTCTAATAGGCGATCCACCGTGGATCACCCTGTATAAGCAAACAAATGTTAGTTTAGTTCATCCTACCAGTATATTACCCGACGAAGCTACTGTGTTAGCTAAACATGTCGTTTGTTTGAGAATTTTGTGGAAATCTTTTCGTTTTTACATTTGCCATGGATTTCCATCAAGTAACGACCGAGACTATTAAAAAAAAGACTATTTAATTATGCTATGATAAGCGTGCAAAGTTTCAAAGTCAAGAAAAGATTCCGAACAGAACTATAACAATCAAGAGATAATGAACCACAAAATCCATCCAAGCACTGGGAAAGAAAACCATGATATAGTATACGGACGGGTCTAAAACACCGGAGAGAACTGGAGCAGGAGTATTTGGGCCTCGCACGGAATATTCTGAACCGATGGTCGATGGTTCCGGCCAACCCAACCCAATCCGATTTATTTTTCCTTCCTCGCCAACCTTATCCCTCTTCAATACAGAAAAGTGAAGATGAGTTCTCCTCGAGTGAAATCATCCGAAATTGAAATACATCTCCATTCGGATTTCCGGGCGAGAGGTGCTAGAGGGGGCTCACCATCGGCTAACAAAACCCTGGAAATAGACCTATGTAACATCCGTGGTCTGAGTAAAAACATCAACGATGTCCATCGACACCTTCAGACTGACAACCCAGATACATTGGCCTTGACTGAGACATAGGTCATTTCATACACCAATAGGACCTAGATTCTCTGTCCTGGGTACCATCTCCAAACACATGCAGGGCTAAGATAGGTCTCTGCCTCTATTTTGAAACAAATATCATCGTCATCGAGAAAAAAACTTTGGGACCAAATAAGTTTGATGTTATGTGGTGAAAACTCGATAGCCAGACACAAGCCAAATATCTTCGAGTCTTGAAGCTCGAACTAATTCAGCAGATCCCTCCAGCAGCAGGAATCATCATTATAGGCGATTTCAATGTACACAATACTGCTTGGCTCGTACAATCCAACAAAACGGATGAAGTCTGGCGACGAGCCGAAGCTTTCGCCATCAACTCACGGCTTAGAGCAGCTTATCATAGAACCTACACGGATTCCCGACGTCGACAATCATTCAACCAACACACTCGACTTATTCCTCACTAATAATTCAGCACCTTACACCGTGATGCACGAGCTCCACTTGGCAATCCTGATCACATACACATCTCCATAACCTGCCCATTCTGATTTCCATCAACTACTCCAGCATTTTCACGTCTTGTATGGCATTATAACTCAGGAGACTGGGACGGTCTCCGCATGTTTTTCGCCAAGTTTCCTTGGCATAGTATATGCCGATATTCGAGATCATCACGCTCGAAATGGACACATGCATACCTCATTTTGCGAAATCACCATCAGCTTCGAAACCCTGGTTCGACAAGAACTGTTCTGGAGTTGTTGCCTTGGAACAAACAGCCTACCATCGCTGGCGCAAGGACCATCACCTCGTGACTAGAGCAGGATATATTGAAGCAAGGAATAACTGCAGCCAAACAATAGATGCATCAAAAGAATCATACAATGCCAAAATAAGATCAAAACTCATAGATCGTCCCAATGGCTCCCGTTCGTTTTGGTCCCTCGCTAAAGCAGTTGAAATGAATTCAACTAATAATTAATTCTCACTTTCCAAAGCCGACGGCACATTGACAACAACATCGCAAGAGGAAGCGAACATATTTGCGGAGATGTGCGCAGAAAACTCCACTTGGATACTGAGGGCAGAGTGCTGTCACTCCACTTGTTGAAAATCGAATTCCCGAAATTAACTTTCACTATCAGACGCAATGTGTTCGGTCTCAAGACGAATAATACTAATGGTCCTGATGGAATTCCACCCATTTTTCTCGGATAGGGTGCACCAGAATTGACACCGATTCAATGCAAGCTATTAACCGTCTCCTACAAGTCTTGTATTTTCCCATTTTGCTGAAAAATAACTAGAGTCCAACCAATCCCCAAAAATAGGGAACAAAACCCTGCCCATCAACTTTAGGCCAATTGCTCTGTTATCAGTAATTTCCAAAGTGATGGAGAAGGCCATCAACATTGAGCTCAACATATATCTGGAAAGCTCAGGAACCATCCATGATAGACAATATGACTTTCGCCACCAAAGATCAGCTGGAGATTTACTTGCCTACGTCACCCATATATGGCGATCTTCATTAGAAAGACATGGGGAATGTCTAGCTGTAGCACTAGATATATCGAAGGTATTCGACTGTGTTTGGCACCAAGAACTGCTCCACAAACTACCATCATACGGCTTTCCACCTCAGCTATGCCATATTTTATCGATTTTTTTTAGGTAGATCGCTCCATCTAGTGGTGGACGGAGTATCGCCTGATACCATTGCCATCAATTCCGGCGTTCCACAAGGATCAAT